CTGATGCGTTTTTTGGCGTTTTCAGATGATTTACAGTTCAAAAAAATCGAAAAAATTAAGAAAAATTCTGATGCGTTTTTTGGCATTTTCAGATGATTTACAGTTCAAAAAAAAAAAAATTAAAAAAAATTCTGATGCGTTTTTTGGCGTTTTCAGATGATTTACAGTTCATAAAAATAAAAAAAAAATTAATCAAAATTCTGATGCGTTTTTTGGCGTTTTCAGATGATTTACAGTTCATAAAAATAAAAAAAAAATTAATCAAAATTCTGATGCGTTGTTTTGCGTTTTCAGATGATTTACAGTTCATAAAAATAACAAAAAAAATGGAGAAAAATTCTGATGCGTTTTTTGCCGTATTAGATGATTTACAATTCATAAAAATAAAAAAAAAATTAATAAAAATTCTGATGCATTTTCTGGCGTTTTCAGATAATTGACAGTTTAAAAAAATCGAAAAAAATTAAGAAAAATTCTGATGCGTTTTTTGGCGTTTTCAGATGATTTACAGTTCAAAAAAATAAAAAAAAATTAAGAAAAATTCTAATGCGTTTTTTGGCGTTTTCAGATGATTTACAGTTCATAAAAACAAAAAAAAAATTAAAAAAAATTCTGATGCGTTTTTTGGCGTTTTAAGATAATTTACAGTTCATAAAAATAAAAAAAAAATAAAAAAAATTCTGATGCGTTTTTTGGCGTTTTAAAATGATTAACAGTTCATAAAAATTTAAAAAAAAATTAAAAAAAATTCTGATACGTTTTTTGGCGTTTTCAGATAATTTACAGTTCATAAAAATAAAAAAAAAAAATAAAAAGAAATTCTGATGCGTTTTTTTGCGTTTTCAGATGATTTACAGTTCATAAAAATAAAAAATTAAAAAAATTCTGATGCGTTTTTGGCGTTTTCAGATGATTAACAGTTCATAAAAATAAAAAAAACAATAAAAATTCTGATGCGTTTTTGGCGTTTTTAGATGATTTACAGTTCATAAAAATATAAAAAAATTTAAAAAATTCTGATGCGTTTTTGGCGTTTTCAGATAATTTACAGCTCAAAAAATCGAAAAAAATTAAGAAAAATTCTGATGCGTTTTTCGGCGTTTTCAGATGATTTACAGTTCAAAAAAATAAAAACAAAAATTAAAAAAAAATTCTGAGGCGTTTTTTGGCGTTTTAAGATAATTAACAGTTCAAAAATCAAAAAAAATAAAGAAAAATTCTGATGCGTTTTTTGGCGTTTTCAGATGATTTACAGTTCATAAAAATAAAAAAAAAAAATTAAAAAAAATTCTTATGCGTTTCTTGGCGTTTTCAAATAATTTACAGTTCAAAAAAATCGAAAAAAATTAAGAAAATTTCTGATGCATTTTTTGGCATTTTCAGATGATTTACAGTTCAAAAAAATAAAAAAAAATTAATAAAAATTCTGATGCGTTTTTTGGCGTTTTCAGATAATTTTCAGTTCAAAAAAATCGAAAAAAATTAAGAAAAATTCTGATGCATTTTTTGGCGTTTACAGATGATTTACAGTTCATAAAAATAAAAAAAAAAAAAAAATTCTGATTCGTTTTTTGGCGTTTTCGGATGATTTACAGTTTATAAAAATAAAAAAAAAAATTAAAAAAAAATTCTGATGCGTTTTTTGGCGTTTTTAGATAATTAACAGTTCAAAAATCAAAAAAAATAAAGAAAAATTCTGATGCGTTTTTTGGCGTTTTTAGATGATTTACAGTTCATAAAAATATAAAAAAAATTAAAAAAAATTCTGATGCGTTTTTTGGCGTTTTCAGATAATTTACAGCTCAAAAAAATCGAAAAAAATTAAGAAAAATTCTGATGCGTTTTTCGGCGTTTTCAGATGATTTACAGTTCAAAAAAATAAAAACAAAAATTAAAAAAAAATTCTGATGCGTTTTTTGGCGTTTTTAGATAATTAACAGTTCAAAAATCAAAAAAATTAAGAAAAATTCTGATGCGTTTTTGGCGTTTTCAGATGATTTACAGTTCATAAAAATAAAAAAAATTAAAAAATTCTTATGCGTTTCTTGGCGTTTTCAGATAATTTACAGTTCAAAAAAATCGAAAAAAATTAAGAAAATTTCTGATGCATTTTTGGCATTTTCAGATGATTTACAGTTCAAAAAATAAAAAATTAAGAAAAATTCTGATGCGTTTTTGGCGTTTTCAGATGATTTACAGTTCAAAAAAATCGAAAAAATTAAGAAAAATTCTGATGCGTTTTTGGCATTTTCAGATGATTTACAGTTCAAAAAAATAAAAAAATTAAGAAAAATTCTGATGCGTTTTTGGCGTTTTCAGATGATTTACAGTTCATAAAAATAAAAAAAATTAAAAAATTCTGATGCGTTTTTGGCGTTTTCAGATGATTAACAGTTCATAAAAATAAAAAAATTAATCAAAATTCTGATGCGTTGTTTTGCGTTTTCAGATGATTTACAGTTCATAAAAATAATAAAAAATTGAGAAAAATTCTGATGCGTTTTTGCCGTATTAGATGATTTACAATTCATAAAAATAAAAAATTAATAAAAATTCTGATGCATTTTTGGCGTTTTCAGATAATTGACAGTTTAAAAAAATCGAAAAAAATTAAGAAAAATTCTGATGCGTTTTTGGCGTTTTTAGATGATTTACAGTTCATAAAAATAAAAAAATTAAAAAAATTCTGATGCGTTTTTTGGCGTTTTCAGATAATTTACAGTTCATAAAAATAAAAAAATTAAAAGAAATTCTGATGCGTTTTTTGGCGTTTTCAGATGATTTACAGTTCATTAAAATAAAAAAAAAATAAAAAAAAATTCTGATGCATTTTTTGGCGTTTTCAGATAATTGACAGTTTAAAAAAATCGAAAAAAATTAAGAAAAATTCTGATGCGTTTTTTGGCATTTTCAGATGATTTACAGTTCAAAAAAATAAAAAAAAATTAAGAAAAATTCTGATGCGTTTTTTGGCGTTTTCAGATGATTTACAGTTCATAAAAACAAAAAAATTAAAAAAATTCTGATGCGTTTTTGGCGTTTTCAGATGATTTACAGTTCATAAAAATAAAAAAATAAAAAAATTCTGATGCGTTTTTGGCGTTTTCAGATGATTTACAGTTCATAAAAATAAAAAAATTTAAAAAATTCTGATGCGTTTTTGGCGTTTTCAGATGATTTACAGTTCAAAAAAATCGAAAAAATTAAGAAAAATTCTGATGCGTTTTTGGCATTTTCAGATGATTTACAGTTCAAAAAATAAAAAAATAAAGAAAAATTCTGATGCGTTTTTTGGCGTTTTCAGATAATTAACAGTTCAAAAAATAAAAAATTAAGAAAAATTCTGATGCGTTTTTGGCGTTTTCAGATGATTTACAGTTCATAAAAACAAAAAAAAAAAAAAAAAATTCTGATGCGTTTTTTGGCGTTTTTAGATAATTTACAGTTCATAAAAATAAAAAAAAAAAAAAATTCTGATGCGTTTTTGGCGTTTTAAGATGATTAACAGTTCATAAAAATTTAAAAAATTTAAAAAATTCTGATACGTTTTTTGGCGTTTTCAGATAATTTACAGTTCATAAAAATAAAAAAATTAAAAAATTCTGATGCGTTTTTGGCGTTTTCAGATGATTTACAGTTCATAAAAATAAAAAAATAAAAAAATTCTGATGCGTTTTTGGCGTTTTCAGATGATTTACAGTTCATAAAAATAAAAAAATTTAAAAAATTCTGATGCGTTTTTTGGCGTTTTCAGATGATTAACAGTTCAAAAAATCGAAAAAATTAAGAAAAATTCTGATGCGTTTTTGGCATTTTCAGATGATTAACAGTTCAAAAAAATAAAAAAAAATTAAGAAAAATTCTGATGCGTTTTTTGGCGTTTTCAGATGATTTACAGTTCATAAAAATAAAAAAAAATTAAAAAAAATTCTGATGCGTTTTTTGGCGTTTTCAGATGATTTACAGTTCATAAAAATAAAAAAAAAATTAATCAAAATTCTGATGCGTTTTTTGGCGTTTTCAGATGATTTACAGTTCATAAAAACCAAAAAAAAAAAATTAAGAAAAATTCTGATGCGTTTTCTGGCGTTTTCAGATGATTTACAGTTTGATACTGTTGTCGCCCTTGTTGCTGAGTATGATTTTGAAAATATCCTCGGCCGGTTCCACGGGAACTGCCAGAATGACCACCTCTAGATTCACTGACGCTATTGCTTCTCTCGGACTTGGGTGGGATGTGGGATCGGAATTTTCCCCGAGCTCACTTCTCGCCCGTCCCCTCTCATCTCTTATCATTAGGCCAGGCGCCTCGCGCACTAGAAATAGCCCTGCACTACCCTGAACAAGACACTCTCTGAATTACTGAAATAAAACAATAGAACCGGCCAAGTAGAGTCCCCTTCCTGCAGGAAACCAAGAGAACAACTACGAGAGAAAGTTCGGATCTCTCATCTGGTGACCTCGCTACGAATTCGCGCCCCAGCAGAGAGCCAGAAAAGGAAAGGGTTTTATGTTTCATGTCAGATGCTTCAACAATTATAAACAAAGCGTTACACTATACGAGTAAAGTATCAGCTGCCATAAGACAGAGTCTTCTTTTTCTTCCATTGGTACACGGAGACGAAGAAACACAGACGAACTACAGACAGACAAATCAAATACCTACGAACGCTGAAATTGTTGAACGCTTGAAAGAACTGAATCTTGAATACATTGTTTTTATCTTTTCTACATATCGCGGACGATTCTTTCTGATCCCGATCGAACTTCGAGAAATTCCAGTCTACAGGAATCAAGTCAAAGCTTTTTCAACACTACTTCACGATTTTAAAACGAACGAAAGTCTCAGAAGAAGAACATCGCTATTAGACGTTGAAGAGCTCCTACAACTTACAGACGAAGGATTACCCGGATTTGTTATCTACGCAATAAGAACAATAATCCACACGGTTAACATTAATAAACCAATCGTAAACAGTGGATTAGAAATTGCAGTTCAAATGGAGCAAGAAAATGCCAGCGAAAGTTCTAATAATGAAACAATTTTCGAAGATGCTGTAGACGACGGTCCAGATCAAATTGATGAAAGCATTAGACAGACTGAAGACGAAGTAAACCGGACATTCAGTGAAAACCCGCTGTTTAATGAAGAAGCAACATTTACGCGACCGAGGCCAAGAAGCTACCAAGTCAACAACACAACTGATAGCAAAGACGATTCCGACAATTGGGCTGAAAAATGGAAAAATCACCGAATTCCAAAGTTTGCCGATTCCGGTCTCGGAATAAAAGACTGGGCAAACAAAGTAATCTTTATGATCGACTTTTCACGAAAACGGCCATTGAATGATAAAGAAAAATGCCAGCTTATTTTGGAAAATATTCCGACGAAATCATTTGGCCCGATACTTGAGTCCTTCTCCCAGACAGCAAATAAAAACTATGAAGACCTTCTATCTGTACTCGAAAATGAGCTACAAATTGACGAAGCTGAAGCGAGCATGTCCCTCGCCAATCTCAAATTCGAAGAGTCTCGCGACAAGGACCTGAAGCGCTTTTTGAAAAAATAATGAAATTGACGAAAATCAAATATCCGAATTTGGACAAAGAAGGTCTCCTCACAACGAGTATGGAACACTTTGAAAAGCTCATACCGAACTACATAAAAAACTCGGAAAATTGGGGATTGGACGTTTATGATGACAGTGATCCGATGAGAAGAATCCAACTTGCTAATAGACTATACAACCTTCACAAAAGCAAGCGATCAGTCAATACATTCTCGGATAACAGGAACAAAAGTGGTCAAAAACATAACTCATCTTCCCAATCGAAATCTTGTACAAATTGTGGGAAAAGAGGTCATATTCGCCCAGAATGCCGCTTGCTTCCTGAATGTCATGGCTGTGGAAAAAGAGGACATTTACAGTTCATAAAAATAAAAAAAAAATAAAAAAAAATTCTGATGCGTTTTTTGGCGTTTTCAGATTATTTACAGTTCATAAAAATAAAAAAAAAAAATTAAAAAAAATTCTGATGCGTTTTTTGACGTTTTTAGATAATTTACAGTTCATAAAAATAAAAAAAAAATAAAAAAAATTCTGATGCGTTTTTTGGCGTTCTAAGATGATTAACAGTTCATAAAAATTTTAAAAAAAAATTAAAAATAATTCTGATACGTTTTTTGGCGTTTTCAGATGATTTACAGTTCATAAAAACCAAAAAAAAAAAATTAAGAAAAATTCTGATGCGTTTTTTGGCATTTTCAGATGATTTACAGTTCAAAAAATAAAAAAATTAAGAAAAATTCTGATGCGTTTTTGGCGTTTTCAGATGATTTACAGTTCATAAAAAAAAAAAAAAATTAAAAAAATTCTGATGCGTTTTTTGACGTTTTTAGATAATTTACAGTTCATAAAAATAAAAAAAAATAAAAAAATTCTGATGCGTTTTTTGGCGTTTTAAGATGATTAACAGTTCATAAAAATTTTAAAAAAATTAAAAAATTCTGATACGTTTTTTGGCGTTTTCAGATGATTTACAGTTCAAAAAATATATAAAAAAAGAAAAATTCTGATGCGTTTTCTGGCGTTTTCAGATGATTTACAGTTCATATAAATAAAAAAAAATTAAAAAAATCTGATGCGTTTTTGGCGTTTTCAGATGATGAACAGTTCATAAAAATAAAAAAAAAAGAAAAATTCTGATGCGTTTTTTGCGTTTTCAGATGATGAACAGTTCATAAAAATAAAAAATTAATAAAAATTCTGATGCGTTTTTGGCATTTTCAGATGATGAACAGTTCATAAAAAAAAAAATTAATAAAAATTCTGATGCGTTTTGTGGCGTTTTCAGATAATTTACAGTTCAAAAAAATCGAAAAAATTAAGAAAAATTCTGATGCGTTTTTTGGCGTTTTCAGATGATTTACAGTTCATAAAAATAAAAAAAAAATTAAAAAAAATTCTGTTGCGTTTTTTGGCGTTTTCAGATAATTTACAGTTCAAAAAAATCGAAAAAAAAATTAAAAAAAATTCTTATGCGTTTTTTGGCGTTTTCAGATGATTTACAGTTCATAAAAATAAAAAAAAAATAAATATAAATTCTGATGCGTTTTTTTGCGTTTTTAGATGATTTACAATTCATAAAAATAAAAAAAAAATTAAAAAAAAACTGTGATGCGTTTTTTTGCGTTTTCAGATGATTTACAGTTCATAAAAATAAAAAAATTTAAAAAATTCTGATGCGTTTTTGGCGTTTTCAGATGATTTACAGTTCAAAAAATCAAAAAATTAAGAAAAATTCTGATGCGTTTTTGGCATTTTCAGATGATTAACAGTTCAAAAAATAAAAAAATTAAGAAAAATTCTGATGCGTTTTTGGCGTTTTCAGATGATTTACAGTTCATAAAAACAAAAAAAATTAAAAAATTCTGATGCGTTTTTGGCGTTTTTAGATAATTTACAGTTTTTAAAAATAAAAAATTAAAAAAATTCTGATGCGTTTTTGGCGTTTTTAGATGATTAACAGTTCATAAAAATTAAAAAAATTAAAAAATTCTGATACGTTTTTGGCGTTTTCAGATGATTTACAGTTCAAAAAATATATAAAAAAAAAGAAAAATTCTAATGCGTTTTTGGCGTTTTCAGATGATTTACAGTTCATAAAAACAAAAAAATTAAAAAAATTCTGATGCGTTTTTGGCGTTTTTAGATAATTTACAGTTTTTAAAAATAAAAAATTAAAAAATTCTGATGCGTTTTTGGCGTTTTTAGATGATTAACAGTTCATAAAAATTAAAAAAATTTAAAAAATTCTGATACGTTTTTGGCGTTTTCAGATGATTTACAGTTCAAAAAAATATAAAAAAAAAAAAAAAATTCTGATGCGTTTTTGGCGTTTTCAGATAATTTACAGTTCAAAAAAATCGAAAAAATTAAGAAAAATTCTGATGCGTTTTTGGCGTTTTCAGATGATTTACAGTTCATAAAAATATAAAAAATTAAAAAATTCTGATGCGTTTTTGGCGTTTTCAGATGATTTACAGTTCATAAAAAAAAAAAAATTAAAAAATTCTGATGTGTTTTTTGGCATTTTCAGATGATTTACAGTTCATAAAAATATAAAAAAAAATTAATAGAAATTCTCATGCGTTTTTTGGCGTTTTCAGATAATTTACAGTTCAAAAAATCGAAAAAATTAAGAAAAATTCTGATGCGTTTTTGGCGTTTTCAGATGATTTACAGTTCATAAAAATAAAAAAAAGAAATATAAATTCTGATGCGTTTTTTTGCGTTTTTAGATGATTTACAGCTCAAAAAAATCGATATTATCGATATATCGATGATTGATTCTGTACGGTTATGGCAATTCAATGATTTTACTCTCTCTTTAGTTTGCTTCGACTGGCAATTTTCTTCAAACATCGGACATCAGCCTTCCTTTCAAACTGGCGTACACAGAAGACAAGGTCCATCTCACGAAAGAGAGCTGTATATATTATTTCACTGCCCTTTTTCAAAATCTGTAAAAAATTTACTTATCGATATTTTTTCTCTTTCTTCATTTTAAATTTTTAGAAGTGTTCATTCAAAGCTTCATCTTTTTTAGCGTTTTTGGCGTTTTCAGATGATGAACAGTTCATAAAAAAAATTAATAAAAATTCTGATGCGTTTTGTGGCGTTTTCAGATAATTTACAGTTCAAAAAATCGAAAAAATTAAGAAAAATTCTGATGCGTTTTTGGCGTTTTCAGATGATTTACAGTTCATAAAAAAAAAAAAATAAAAAAATTCTGATGCGTTTTTTGGCATTTTCAGATGATTTACAGTTCATGAAAATAAAAAAAAAATTTAAAAAAATTATGATATGTTTTTTGGCGTTTTCAGATGATTTACAGTTCCTAAAAATAAAAAAAAATTAACAGAAATTCTGATGCGTTTTTTGGCGTTTTCAGATAATTTACAAATCAAATAAATTAAAAAAAATTCTTATGCGTTTTTTGGCGTTTTCAGATGATTTACAGTTCATGAAAATAAAAGAAAATTAAAATAAAATTCTGATGCGTTTTTTGGCGTTTTCAGATAATTTACAGTTCATAAAAATAAAAAAAAAAATTAATAGAAATTCTGATGCGTTTTTTGGCGTTTTCAGATAATTTACAGTTCAAAAAAATAAAAAAAAAATTAAAAAAAATTCTGATGCGTTTTTTGGCGTTTTCAGATGATTTACAGTTCATAAAAATAAAAAAAAATAAATATAAATTCTGATGCGTTTTTTGCGTTTTTAGATGATTTACAATTCATAAAAATAAAAAAAAAATTAAAAAAAAACTGTGATGCGTTTTTGCGTTTTCAGATGATTTACAGTTCATAAAAATAAAAAAATTAAAAAAATTCTGATGCGTTTTTGGCGTTTTCAGATGATTTACAGTTCAAAAAATCGAAAAAATTAAGAAAAATTCTGATGCGTTTTTGGCATTTTCAGATGATTAACAGTTCAAAAAATAAAAAAAAATTAAGAAAAATTCTGATGCGTTTTTGGCGTTTTCAGATGATTTACAGTTCATAAAAACAAAAAAAATTAAAAAATTCTGATGCGTTTTTGGCGTTTTCAGATGATTTACAGCTCATGAAAATAAAAAAATTTAAAAAATTATGATATGTTTTTGGCGTTTTCAGATGATTTACAGTTCATAAAAATAAAAAAATTAACAGAAATTCTGATGCGTTTTTGGCGTTTTCAGATAATTTACAAATCAAAAAATTAAAAAATTCTTATGCGTTTTTGGCGTTTTCAGATGATTTACAGTTCATGAAAATAAAAGAAAATTAAAATAAAATTCTGATGCGTTTTTGGCGTTTTCAGATAATTTACAGTTCATAAAAATAAAAAAAAATTAATAGAAATTCTGATGCGTTTTTGGCGTTTTCAGATAATTAACAGTTCAAAAAAATAAAAAATTAAGAAAAATCTGATGCGTTTTTGGCGTTTTCAGATGATTTACAGTTCATAAAAACAAAAAAATTTAAAAAATTCTGATGCGTTTTTGGCGTTTTCAGATGATTTACAGTTCATCAAAATAAAAAAAAATAAAAAAATTCTGATGCGTTTTTGGCGTTTTAAGATGATTAACAGTTCATAAAAATTTAAAAAAATTAAAAAAATTCTGATACGTTTTTGGCGTTTTCAGATAATTTACAGTTCATAAAAATAAAAAAATTAAAAAAATTCTGATGCGTTTTTGGCGTTTTCAGATGATTTACAGTTCATAAAAATAAAAAAAATAAAAAAAATTCTGATGCGTTTTTGGCGTTTTCAGATGATTTACAGTTCATAAAAATAAAAAAATTTAAAAAATTCTGATGCGTTTTTGGCGTTTTCAGATGATTTACAGTTCAAAAAATCGAAAAAATTAAGAAAAATTCTGATGCGTTTTTTGGCATTTTCAGATGATTTACAGTTCAAAAAAATAAAAAAAAATTAAGAAAAATTCTGATGCGTTTTTTGGCGTTTTCAGATGATTTACAGTTCATAAAAATAAAAAAAAAAATTAAAAAAAATTCTGATGC